AAGACCGACTCTCGCGATGCACGAGACTTCTGAGCCTGTGGTTGTGGCCGAGGGCTCCTGCAATTGCAAGTACTGTATTTCCCCTACAGACCACCAGGGCGGCCGAGAAAACTTTTGTTCGACCTGAAATGACTCATTTAATCATCCAAAACATTATGGAACACATTAAATAACTGAAATGTTGCATAGTATGCCTTTAAGTTAGTAGAGCAGTAGGTCAACACTTCTGATGTATACCAAACAGAGCAAAAACAATAAGACAGAAGAGGGCCACAAAGCAGATGGAAAATTAAGAATTCAACTTTTCTTACATCAATGTAGTTTGCGTTGACATAATCTGAGTCAGGATCTGCCAGGAGAGAAAGGAGCTTGAGTCGCCGATCCGCTACAAAGAAGACAGACAATTATTAGAACCCCAAATGCATCAATTTGTTCCTTTTTCAAATTAAATGCATGTTAATGAACTTTGTGTGAAGTTAAACGACTTCCTGACCATGACCTTTCGCTTTCCTTTTTCAGTCGGGCTTCCATGCTCACCGCTTAACAGAGACTGCCCTTATAAAGGGTTCAGTGATATCTATATAAATACAGACCATGGAAGTGATGCTATTATTGGACCTTAGTGGAGAATTCAATACTGCTGATCACTTCATTTTATTAGGGCCTCTAAAAAACTGGGTCTGACTTTCTGCTGCAGGACTTGACTCATTTAAATTCTACTTGAAGGACAGGGACTGTTTTGTGTCAGTAGGTAATTTTATATCAGAAACCATAAAATGTTTTAAGACGGACCCTTGGGGGCCCATTCAGATCTTATTAACCAACAACATAAGTTACCATAACATACAGCTAAGCATTACGATGTTAGCAGGTTACTATGAACCTATTCAAGCCCTGGGTAAATGGCTAAAGAAACCAACTCATCAATGTGCCAAAATGTTATAAACTAAAACAAAAAAAACCTGAGGTAATAATTTTTGGACCAAAGGAAGAGCTTTCAAAGGTTCGCACATACATAATACAGCTGGAAAAATTAATCTGCCTTGAAATGGGATTTGTGATGGACTCAGCCGTAACCTTCAGAGCCACATAATAGAGTGTTAAAGCTGGCCTTGTATCATCTAAAGAATATATTCAGGATTAAAGAGCTAAGGCCTCAGCAGAACCTAAAAAACTTTTTATGTATTTATCTTAATTAGAGTTGATTACTGTAAAAGTGGATCAACAAACTGCAGTGGATCCAGAAGGCTGCTGCTCATGTCTTAAACAGAACTAAGAAAGTGGAGAACATCACCCCACTTCTAAAGTCGTACCCGGTAAGTCAACAGAACTTAAATGCATTTATAACTAAGATGAACTTTGAATAAACATAATTAAGTTTGTCTATTTTTGTAATATTATACTGGACTACATGTTTCTGTACACAGATATTTATTATCAATATGCGATAAGATATATGGGATGACAATAAGTGTTTTCACACCAAGGAAAGACCTTTGGACCACTTGTTTGGTCTGGACTAGGGATGAACAATTTGGCAAAAAATTAAAATTTTGATTATTTTGAACCAATATTGCAATTGCAATTTATTTTTTTTCCTTTGCACCAAGTTTTATTCATAGTCTATTGTTGCAAGACTTTCCTGTTAGCTTTGTGTGAAAAAGTACTAAATTCTACTTTCATGCATGAATCTGCATGCCTAACCCTAACTCTGTCTTCCCGTTCTGTGGTTGTAATCTTTTATTATGAATATTACTGCCACCTAAAGGGATGGACTAAGAAATGTACATATAATTGAGCGCATCTATAATTTGAAAAGTGTGTTTTCTTAAAGTGTGATTGCATTGCAAATGCAACTAATCCTAGTTCTTCTGTCCAATCCTAATCAGGACTTTATTCTTTTTTTTCATTTGGTGCCATTTCCTTTAACACTTTTCTTCTTGCAAGTGACTACACTCACCGGCCACTTTATTAGGTACACCTGTCCAACTGCTCGTTAACACTTAATTTCTAAGCAGCCAATCACATGGCGGCAACTCAGT